GTCTCTTGGGGTCTCAGTTTCATCATCTGGAAAATGGGGATAATAATATCTATTCTGCCTTCTTCCAGTGATATGGGGAAGAATCAAAGAATGGGTGGGGATTGTTTTGTTAAGCTACAAATCACTGAGTAATTGGAAAATCTGATTTTTATCAAGTATGCTTCTGCCCCACAAGTGGCAGCTTTTTTTTTCTTTTGGTGAGGCAAATTGGGGTTAAGTGACTTGCCCAGGGTCACACAGCTAGTAAGTGTCAAATGTCTGAGGCTGGATTTGAACTCAGGTCCTCCTTACTCCAAGGCCACAGCTCTATCCACTACGCTACCTAGCTGCCCCTTTTTCTTTTCTATTTTTTTTTCAGGTGGCAGCTTTCTTAAACTCTGGCTCCTTATTGAAGCACCACAATCTACACGAAGCCTAGTCTGAACTTCTCCACCTTCCCCCCACCAAATTCCAATGTGCCATAGTAGTAAGTGTTGTCACCTCAGAGGCAGGAAAACTTAGAGTTTTGCCTCTTGTTTTTCATTCTTCATTCTCTCTCTCTCTCTTTCTTCTTTTTTTGCAAGGCAATTGGGGTTAAGTCACTTGCCCAGGGCCACACAGCTAGTACCTGTCAAATGTCTGAGGCTGGGTTTGAACTCAGGTCCTCCTGACTCCAGGGCCAGCACTCTATCCACTGTGCCACCTAGCTGCCCCCATCCTTCTTTCTCTAAGAGGACCAACGACATTACGGGGTGATATCTTGATTTATGGTGTGCGTGTGTGTGCACTGGATTTATGTGAGGCAGAGTTGCAAACTTGGCCTCACTCTCTCTTCCAGAGTCACTGAAGTCTAGTGGCAAGACAAAAGTCAGGATGGCTGTCATTGGCTTGGGATGCAGTGGATGACCTTGGCATCTTTGATGCCTGACCAAGCTCTATAGTGCCTACTTCAGCCACCTTCATGGCCATTGGAACAAATTGTTCTCATCTGCCCATTCCACCAGGGGAAGTCTTCACATACTTGGGGTAGACACTCCCCTAACTCACCGATGGGTCTGTGGCCTGTCGGTTACCCTCAGCCTGGTTTAGCCCATCTGCTGAGATGATGGGATGTGGTCGCTGCATAAGCTACAGCTTCTTGGAGCCACAGGTGAGGGCTGGGTGCCAGGTAGACACCAAAGGTGGATGAGCAGCCCTGAAAAGGACTTGGCAAGCCCTCATATCAGAGGTACTAGTCCTCTCTGAGCACTCTGGTACATACTGGCTGTGCAACCCTAAGCTAGTCACTTAACCACTCAGCGCTTGCAGAAAAGGTGCTAAACTGTATTTGTAGAGAGAGTTTACTCATCTGGGAATTCCTTATACCAATTATATCACAGTTCCAGACCCTTTATTTTGTGAATAATTGCATGTGTTCATATTGTCTCCCCTCCCTAGAACGTAAGGTCTTTGAGGATAGGGACTATATTATATCCCCAGGGAACATTGCCTGGTACATAGTAGGGGCCTAATAAATGCTTGTTGATTGACTGATCAATCAATAGTCGATACTTAAATGCCTGTTCATTGATTTATTGCATTCTGAGTTTTGAGTGGATAGTCCACAGAGTTAAGTTCTTTGGGGCCTTCACTATTGAGTTGCATTTGCCAGAATCAATTCCCATGAAGACCACAACAGTGACATACAACAATTCAGCCATGTTCCCCATATCTGACCAGCCCAGCCCTCATCCATGGATGCCTCAAATTCACAGAACGAACAGAATATTCACCTAGTCTGAAACAACAAATTGTTGGCAATGTTGATTGGGGATTCCAGAGAAGAGGCCATCCTAACATTGTTCCCATTGAAACATTTTACACAATCGAGGGGCTACCTTCACTCCACGATGAAGCCTGTGGGAGGGCACGAGAGAAGGGTGCCATCCTTCATAAATGAAAATTTGGCTATTGGGTGGCTAGCAATGAGCCTCGTCCTCAGAATTATTTCTACATCCATATGCCAGGAGTGAGAGCATTGCACAGCTGGGAGGGGCCTTAGAACAGAGAAGGTCAGGGCTGGGAAGGCCCTTAGAACAGAGAAGGTCAAGGCTGGGAGGGCCCTTAGAACAGAGAAGGTCAGGGCTGGGAGGGGCCTTAGAACAGAGAAGGTCAAGGCTTGGAGGGCCCTTAGAACAGAGAAGGTCAGGGCTGGGAGGGGCCTTAGAACAGAGAAGGTCAAGGCTTGGAGGGCCCTTAGAACAGAGAAGGTCAGGGCTGGGAGGGGCCTTAGAACAGAGAAGGTCAGGGCTGGGAGGGGCCCTAGAACAGAGAATGTCAGAACTGGGTGGAACCTTAGAACAGGGAATGTCAGATCCTGACATTCAGACCTGAGACCCTGTTCTAAGGGGCCTCCCAGCTCTGACATCCTGTGATTCTGGGATAGCTTCAAGGGATGGGAATCCCATGGTGGCTGTCATTTCATCTCCTACAGCTCACTTCCAGCCACCAGATCCTTGTTCTCTAAAGCAGAGCCCAGGCCTAAATGGCACCCAAGCTCAGTGGCATGTACCCATACTGCTTTGCTGATAATGTATAATGCAAGAGTGAAAGGTTCAGATCAGCCTGGTTCCCTGCTCTCCCTCTCCGTCACCCCCACCCCCCAACTCCCTAGTCTGTTTTATATTAGACTCACGGTATGAAAGCCTCCCTGAGAAATGCCAGATGGCCTGAGCGTCCCAGGTAGCTCCAAACCCTGGGCAGCTGTTAACCCAGCATTTGATCAGACTAGCCCTGGGGCCTGGCAATTACTCCAGGTATGAATGGAAAGGGCAATGTGACTGTGTTTGCTGCTAGGTATCAGGTCTCTGGAGTCCCAAGAAAGAGAATGGGGGGAAGGGGAGGCCGTTAACCAGACTTACCACTGGGCCTTGGCCAAGTACATCCCTCTTTCCTACCTCAGTTTCCTCTTGTGTGAAAAATAGCTATAATACCTGTCCTTTTCCTTTCCTGTGTTCTCAGGGAGATTTCCTCTCCTGCAGGATTTTGAGCTGGGAGCAGCCTCAGAAATCACAATAGTCCACCCCTTTCCCCATTTTATGAAGGCCTTTTCAACTCAAGATCCAGTGCCCCATGTCTGACTTTGGATAAGCCACTTCATTCCTCTGGGCCTCAGTTTCCTCATCTGTGAAATGAGAGGTTGAGGTGGTTGACCTCCTAGGTCCCTTCCAGCTGGAGATTCAGAATGCTATAATGCAAAGTGGGGGTTGAGATGCCCCAAGCCACCCGAGAAGGCTGAATGGGACTAACAGGGCATCAATTGGTGAGTATGTGAGAACAGAACAGAGTGGAGACACCCGACTTGTAGAAGATGGAACTCACAGCCGTGGCTACGCGGTGGTAAGGAGCTCCAGAGGTTATGGCAGCTACCACAGCAGCCTTTGTGGCTAGGTGGTGCTGCAGTGGACAGAGTGCTGGGCCTGGAGTCAGGAAGACTTGAGTTCAGATTTGACCTCAGACACTTCCTAGCTGTACGATGCTGGGCAAGTCACTTCACCTCTGTCTGCCTCAGTTTCCTCAACTGTAAAATGAGGATAATAACAGCACCTCCCTCTCCTGGCTGTTGTGAGGATCAAATGAGATCATATTTGTAAAAGTACTTACTTAGCACAGTGCCTGGCACACAGCAGGTGCTTAATAAATGCTTGTCTTTTTCCTTCCTCTAAAGCTTTGAATCCATCTCTATCTTTCACAGCCCATGCCCACTGTCACCTCCTTCAGGAAGCCTTCAAGGATTTGCTGATCTGACCTCACCTGATACAATCCTTAAATCTCTCTGATCAGCCATTATTTATTTTATTTATTTTATTTTATTTTTAGGCAGTTGGGGTTAAGTGACTTGCCCAGGGTCACACAGCTAGTAAGTGTCAAGTGTTTGGTCTGAGGCCGGATTTGAACTCAGGTCCTCCTGACTCCAGGGCTGGTGCTCTATCCACCGCACCACATAGCTGTCCCCTTGATCAGCCATTATTACAGGCCTTGTTTACCTTGGTCTCAGAGGGCTGAGCCAGGAGAAATGCATGAAAGTGTCCAAGAGACTCGTTTTGGGGTCAGTGTCAGGAAAAACTCCTTGGCAATGTGAGATGTCTCAGAATGGAATAAACTGCCTGAGGAGGTAGTAAGCCCCCTTCACTGGATGTCCAGATTGATGGGGATGCTAAAAGGGGATCTGTAGTCAGCTAAAGCTTAAGTGAGACACCCTCCCTGCAAGTTGGAAAGGCCACGGGGCTCCTGCATAAAGTACCAGATAGCTGGGGGTCACCCTCAGGTCTCCTACTTACCCATCTCAGACTCTCTCTGTACCCTCACAGCACCCCAGACCAACCAATCATTCTCCACCCTCTAGGTCTCACCCAAACCAATGTCCCCATCACCCTTTCCTTGCCCATTCAGATTGGAGGGCTGGAGGCTAGAGGCTCCATGGTGGGGTTTTTCTGCTACCTGGCTTTCTGGGGAGGGATTTCTTAAAAATGTTACATAGTGGATGCAAGTGGCAGGGAAGGTACTGGACTGCATGACCTCTAAGTTCTTTGAAATTCTATGCTATATGATTGTATGGTTGCCTCTTTTGCAACCATTTGACCCCCAAAAAAAGCTACTTACAATTACCATGCCCCACAACTCCCCAGCACCCAAGATTCCATGTCCCCCTAAGAGCAGCCATGGCCACAGCAAGCATCCCAGGATGTGGACACACAGTTTGTATGTTCTCAAGGCTCCAGGGTAGGCTTGACCCTTGAGGCCCCTGATGAGGGCTCTTAAAAGGGGAAGGCGACATCACCACCAAAAAACTCAAAGTTTATAAATGGCCAAGACTTAACCCAGATCCCAGGCCTTGAGAATTGTAGGAATGTGAGAAGTTAGCAACTCACTGTTGGTGTCAGTGCCTGGGAAGTGGGGCTCAGGCCACTCCCTGCCTGGCCCAGCTCATGTCTAGGCCGTGAGGTCACGAATACCACCAGCACGCCCCATTGGAAACGTACCTTGTTCCTATCCCCACTCGATATAATCGTCTCCTCGATGGACTGGATTTGGTTGACATCATACAGGCCTTTTTCAAGAGTAGCTTTGGAAAGCTCAATTCTCTTCCCTCGTTCCCTGCACCTGGGGAAAAGAAGGGAAGGATTTACAGTCTTGTTATGGTTACTGTTCACTAAGCACATCATTAGAACCAGACTCTTCAAGCCACCTGAGTGAAGATGCAGCATGCGGGCCTCATCTCACTTCAGTTAAGTGGCAACTGGGTAGGCCTGCTGTGAGGGGATGGGGGTGGGGGTGGGGGGGGGGTCTTACCTGTACCAGGCTAGCTTTCTCATTCCTCTTTCACTGGTCCCAGGCTCAGATAGGGCTGTCCCACCCCCCAGCATAGCCCATTAGACTCATGAATTCTTTTTTTTTTGGCTAGGCAATGGGGTTACCGGGTCACACAGCTAATAAGCGTTATGTGTATGAGGCTGGATTTGAACTCAGGTCCTCCTGAATCCAGGGCCAGTGCTCTATCCACTGTGCCACCTAGCTGCCCCAAGACTCATGAATTATAATTGTAAGAATAGGGCCCCAAACAATTCCGTGATACAGTGGAGAGAGTGGGATATGGAATTAAAAGACCTGGGTTCAAATCCTGGCTCTACTACTTGGGCAAATCTCTTCCTATCTCTGGCAGACAGTTTACCCCTCTGTCCAATGAAGGGATTGGCCTAGGTGGCCTCTGAGGTCTCTTATATTTCTAGAGCTAGGATCCTGTGTCTGACCATGGGCAAATCCCTTCCCTGCCCTGGGCCTCAGTTTCCTCTTCTGTAAAAGGAGGGTGTATTGGACTGGATGGCTTCTGAGGGCCCCTCCAGCTCTAGATTTAGGTCCTATGTGTGACCCAGGTTAAGTCTCTTCCCTTTCCTGGGTCTGCTCAGATTTGCACAAACACAAATAACACAGTGGTATATGATAAGTGAATGCAAGGTCCAAACCAGATTCTACATGAGATCCAAGGGGCAGAGGAGCTCAGGGCAGCCTTCCTGTGGGAGATGGCATTAAAACCAGATTTCAACAGCTGGGGAGGAATTCAACAGGTTGAGGAGGGGAGGGTATTGTCTCCTAGGGAGGCATCATAGCTCGGTGGACAGGGCACTGTATGTAGAGTCAGAAAGACCCGAGTTCAAATTCTGCCTCAGATACTAACAGCATGACCTTGGGCATGTAACTCAACCTCCTGGGCCTCAGTCTCCTCCTCTGTAAAATGAGGGCCTTCAATTTGATAGCTACTCGTGTTCTATCCAGCTGACAATTTAGATAGAGTCCTCTGATCTGAGGCAGGATCTGAACCCAAGTCTTGCTGACCCCAGTACCCTATTGCCTGTACCAGGGGTGGGGAACCTGCAGGCCACATGTGGCCTTCTAGGTCCTCAAGTATGGACCTTTGACTGAATCCAAACTTTGCAGAACATATACCCTTAATAAAAGTAATTTGTTCTGTAAAAATTGGACTCAGTCAAAAGGCTGCACCTGAGGACCTAGAAGGCCACATGTGGCCTCAAGGCTACAGGTTCCTTACCCTTGGTTGGCAATTCTGCCTATTCTCCCCTGGTTCTATCTGTCCTTTTCTCTATGCACAGCACAACCACACTAGTCCAAACCCCATGTCCTCTTGTCCCAACTATGGCCACAGCCTCCTAACTAGTGGCCTTGATTCAAGTTTCTCCCTTCTCTTCTAAAGCTAAGATCTGAACATGTCATTCTTCTGCTCAAGAAAGGTCAGTGGCTCCCCACCGACCCAAGATCAAATACAAATTTCTCAGCTTGGCATTTAAAGCTCTTTGCAACCTGACTCGAGTCTGCCTTTTCTAGGTGGATTGCATTTTTTTGTTGTTGTTCAATCATGTCCAACTCTTCATGACCCCATTTGGGGTTTTCTTGGTAAATATACAGGAATGGTTTGCCATTTCCTTCTCATGCTCATTTTACAGATGAGGAAAACTGAGGCAAACAGGGTGAAGTGACTTATCTAGGGTCAGCTAGTAAGTGTTTGAGGCCAGATTGAAACTCAAGAACAGGAGTCTTTCTGACTCCCGGCCCCAACTCTACCCACCGCAGCGCCACCTAGCTGCCCCACATCAAATTTTACTCTCCTTCAAATGACCAAATGAGATCACACTTGTAAGTGCTTAGTACAGCACCTGGCATACAGGAGGTGCTTAATAAATGCTTCTTCCTTCCCTTTCCATACTCTTCGTTCTAGCTAAAGTAGCCTTGTTCACTCTTCTCTGTACACTATGTTCCTTTACACAAGCTGTTCACCCTCTCTGGAATGCTTTCCCTTTTTTCCCTCTCAGAATCCCTAGTTTCCTCAGGGCTTAGCTCAAACACCATCTCCCTCAAGAGGCTTTTCCTGATTCCCTCAATGGTTGACCCCCCAAAAAATCAGTGTTTATTTTGTATAGCTTGTATTTCCATATCTATGACAAGTTCTGGCTTCACTCCACCCTCTCCTTCCACAGAATCTGAATTCCTGTAGGGCAGTGATTGTCCTAGTCCTTGCATCCTCAGAACAATGCTTGGCACATAGTAGGTGCTTAATAAATGCTTAATTGATTTATTGAGGGAGGGGAGTGTCTCATCTCCCCAACTTGCTAAATCAGAATGGAGATGAGAACTGGGGAGACTTCACTCCTGGTACTCCCTCTTCTCTCTCTGGGTGGAATGTAGGACTTGGAAGGGGGACATGGGAAAAACCCTTTGGCAGCCTGGATCTTGAAGTAGCAGGAGGCTTAAGAGGGAGCTCTTTGGGAAAGCCCCAGCCCTCCACACAGGCAGGACAGCGCATCAAAGGCCAGATTTATAGGGGTCACTATCTATGGCCACCATCCAGAACAAACCCTGGTTAATTTCTCAGCATATTGCAAGTAGCCAATCTATCTTCACGGCAGAGAAATATGCTGAGGGGCTGTCATGAGAAAAAAATGAGACTGGGACATTTAATAAATTGTGATTGTTAACATCAGGGGAGGGCGGCTGCCGGTCTCCAAATGAAGGATGGTGCTGGCCAATTTAGCAGTGCTCCTGGGTTCCCTGGCCCTTCCTAGCCATTTGACTATGCTCTCTTCTACCACACAGAAAATAAACTCAAAGGCCAGCCCAGTGGCAGAGCAGCCAGTGTCTTGTCACTTGGCTCTAGCTCATCCTCAGGTGCACATAATGGAGCAGAAGTTCACTCCCTCCCTGAACTGGGAGGCACCTCTTGGTCTAAGAACCGGCTGGCTTAAGAATGGACATCTGTTTCTTCCAAGGGTCTCCCCCCTGGACTGGGCTGTTTGGTGGGACTGGATAAATGGATGTATTGATTTTGTAGTGAGAAGAGCTCTGGATTTGGAAGCCAGAGGACAAAGGTTCCAATTTTATCTCTCTGGGCTTCATTTTCTTCCTCTGTACCACGAGGCAGTTAGACCAGCCAGTCCCTTACAACCAAGGACCAATCTCCACATTATATTATCATCTTCACCATCATAATTATTTTCATTTCCTCAGATGTCTGGGCCTATTTTATACATGAGGAGAGAGAGATCAGAGAATCAATAACCTCTCTGACTTGCCCAAGGTGACCCAGACAGGCAGGAGTTGGGATTCATCCCCAGGCCTCCTAACTTCCAGTCATCCCAGGATCCCACAAAGCACCCACTCTGTCTGCCTGGAGTTAGCTTTCTTAGATGACATCTGCTTAGGTGTCAGGTTTAGGCCTTTGCCCAAAGGCTAAAAAAAAAGATACCCGAATGCTTAATATGTGTGTATATATACATATATATTTAAAATTTATAGTGTTCTTCACCACCTCCAGAGGTCTCTTGTCTAACCACTATATCCAATGTTAGAGTTAGAGGAGACTTTAAATAACATGCCAAGCCCATCATTTTATAGATGGAGGGCCAAGATCACAAGGCAAGATAATGGGTGAGAAAAAGCTAGAACCCTGAGTCACAGCTCAATGAGTATATGTGCCATCCTCCCTCCCCATAGACACCGAGATTTATGGCATCTCCAAGCTAGAAAAGACCTCACAAGGCACCCAGTACAATCCGTACTCAAGCAGGAATCTCTTCTATACTATCTGTGACCAATAAGCATCTGGTTCCGGCTTGAAGACCACCTCTAGTGAATGGGGGGAGCTCACTCCTTCCTGAGGCTGCTCATCCATTCCACTTGGGGACACGTTGCTGCTGATAATAATACCCAATGGGGTGATGGGAACTTTCCCATCGTAGCTCTGGGAGGTAAAGAATGTGGACTGTGCTGTTCCCATCTGACAGATGAGTTAACAACTGGATCTGTTACCTGCACCCCCACAGAGCTTTGGCCAATTGGGTTCAACAAACCTGTGTAAAAACGAGAGCATCCCTGCTTCTTTTTCACTGTGTGTGTATGTGTGTGTGTGTGTGCACACGCATACACGCTCTCATGCATCAGAGTGGGGGGAGGTGAAGAGGGGAAGGAGGAATACAACATGTAAACAGAGAAATCAAAACAGAATGAATACAAAAGAAACCCAATGGGAGAGAACACCAAGAACTGGGGGCTGAAGATGCTTTGAGGCCTACAATGTTCTTTGCCCACGCTGAATGGAGAGAGCCCAAGGATTAGGGGGTGTTCTATTTGCTCCATTGAAGGAGATGGCGAGTCCTAGAAGCAGTGATGAGGAGGGAGAGTCATTTCCTTGCAAGTTATTCCTCTCCACGGTGGCCCCAGGTCTAGCCAACCATAACACTCCATCTCCCATCTCTGTATCTTTGTCCTGCCTATTCCGTGCCTGCAATGTCTCTCCTGAAACTCTTTGAAGCCCTGGCTTCTTTCAAGACTCAGTTCCAATCCCACTTTCTGCAGGAAGCCTTTCCTGGACTGCCCCCCACCCCCAGCTGCTTAGTAGCCTCCTCTCTGAGATGACTTTTGGTTATATTTCAGGTAAGAGGGTCATGTGATAAAAATACTGCCACATGCAGTCTTTGACTTCAGAGTTGGGTAGATGCCAGTTGGAGGGACCTTCATCTGACTGAGAGTCTTTCAGGGATTTTTTGCTCTTCAAACCCATGGTAGATGTTCCCTAGGTCAGTGGGTCAATGGAAACCAGTTGTGATGGTCTGGGAATGGCTAACAGAGAGAGAAGGAGAGAGAAGGAAATGAGATAGCATCAGAAGTGAGGAGGTGGGTGGGGAAAACTTGATCATTTCCCCCAAAGATCCTTCTCTAGCATCTGGTGGGGAGAGAAAAGGCCCCTGAAGGGATGCAGGGGTAGCTAAGACTTCAAGGGCTCAGGGAAATTGGCCGGAAGGGGCTCTTTCATGGCTAGTGAGTCCCTCAGGAGCATCTCTCAGGCCCTTAGCTTCCTCATCTGCAAAATGGGGATAATAAATGACACTCTGAGAGGCAGATTGGTATGGCAGATAGAGAGCTCACCTTGAAGTCAGGAATATCTGATTTTAATTCCCTTCTCTGACACATACTAAGTGTGAAACACTTACCTTTCAGTGGACAGACCACTCTCCAACTTATCTATTCTCCTCTGATTTTCAAATTTTCTTCTTCCGTCTTATTTTGAGTTTATTTGTTGGGTTTCTAATTTTTTAAAAATGTATATACTGTTCATTAATCTCCTTTATTTCTCTTTTCTTGATACATGTAGTTAGGGATAGGATTTTTCCTCTGAGAGCAGCTTTAGCTCTATCCCTGAAATTCTGGTACACTGTCATATCATTAACATTGTCTTTCACATAATTATCAGCTGTTTCCGTGCTTTGTTCTTTGCCTCCCTTATAATGTAGGATTTCATTGCTAAGTCTCCACTTAGGTCTATGTCTTTAGTTTGTGCTCCTGAATTGATTGATTCCTACCTTTATTGCCTTTTGGGCTGTAAAAGATGTATATGTGCCTTTTTGCATTTATTTGTAATTTCTCTGGACCCCAATACCTGGTCAGTTTTTGTAAAAGTGTCATGTGATGCAGAGAAGTATGTACCTTCATTGGTGGTCTCAGGGAACTCTCTTACAAAGGTACTGATTGGAGAGGGAGAAGGAGGGAGAGAATTTGGAACTCAAAATTTAAAAATGAATGTTAAAAATTGTTTTTACATTTTAAATAGGGAAAAATAAAAAATACTAAATAAATAATTTTTAAAAAGGTACTGATTGGCCATCTGCATCAGTATTTCTACACTTGTGTTCCACAAATCCCATAGTGGGAGCAAAAAAAAAACAACACTCCCTAACCTCTCATAGGGGTGATGTGGGCAAAGCACATTGTAAGCCTCAAAACAGTAGGAAATGGGAGTCAGAGCTGCTTCCCTGTTCCAAGATAGCTGAACCAAACATGGGCCCTCCAGTAACAAGAATCCCCAGGCTTGGCCCTGCAAACGTCATTTACTTGTGCTAGGGTTTGGGGAGGAGAAGAAACCCAGACACTTACATAGCATCACTGGTGATGCAGGGCTCCCAAGCCCATCGAAAGGTTGGTGGCGGGGTACCACTTGCCGTACAGCGGAGGATGTGTTCACTGCCCAAAAACACCGGCTGAGTCTTGTTCAAGTCTGTCTCCTTTTCATAGATCTTGGGTCTCTCTGTAAAAGAGGGGAAACTGTCAGTAAATAATGGTCACAATCTTGACCCGGGAAAACAGGAGGTCTTCTTCCTTGGGGGGGGGGGCTATGGATGGGGAACACTGCATATGCCATTAGACAGTGTCACTTTGCTGGTTGCTTCTGCTTAACTGGTTTTCTTTGTTTGGATACGTTCATTAGGCAGGCAGGGTGGTAGGAGGAGCCTATTGGGAAATGACCACCTTAGGATGGGAAATGATGGCTGAGAAAAATGCCTCAGGATGGATACTTCAAAGCAATAGTGGCAAACTGCCCGGTCATGCAATTGGGGGCAGTGGTGGGAGAGGAAATTGATATTACATATCAAATGGCCTGGGAAGTCCCCTGATTTCTCCCCACTCTCCCACAACACCTGTTGGCAAATGTTTAGATAAGCCTGATGGCCTAGTGGACAGAAATCCAGCCTCACCATGTGAGGTTGCCTGTCATAGACAGAAGCAGGCTAGCCTTGAAGTCAAGGAGCTTTGGGCTCAAAAGACTTCTGGATTTGGTCCACTTTGTTGTTGTTGTTGTTGTTGTTTTTGGCTAGGCAAAGGGGTGAAGTGACTTGTTTAGGGTCACACAGCTAGTAAGTGTCAAGTGTCTGAGGCTGGATTTGAACTCAAGTCCTTTTGACTCCAAGGCCCGAGCTCTATCCACTGTGCCACCTAGCTGCCCCCTTTAGGTCTACTTCTTATCATTCAATTTTGTCATTGGTCCATTAAAGGAATTAGATCAAGGCCCCTCCAAGCTCTGATATCCCCTGTTCTAAGGGCCCTCCCAGCTCTGACATCCCCTGTTCTAAGGCCCCTCCCATCTCTGACATCTCCTGGTCTAAGGCCCCTCCCTATGCCAACATTCTTGCTTCTGCCTTCTAAATTAATCTGACAGTGTTGCCACTTTCAACAAGTTCTAAGCCCAAATGCCAACAGGGATGAAGCATGTGACCTGAGCCAGAGCCCTGAGCTTCACAGAGTAATGAGAAAGAGGAGGACGATGGTGAGGCTGATGGATTGGCCATGTGCACCAGCTCTGGGAAGGGCCGCAGTGGGGTGGTGATGCCTCAGAGCTCTTTTCAAGCCAAATAGATTCATCTCTTCACAGGAAATTAAACATCTCAGTCAACGGATGGGCCTTTTAAGCTCCACAGTGGCAGCTGGTTTGTAGCAAAACCTCTCAGCAAATGGTGGGCTGGGCAGACTGAGCAAACTTCGTGTGTTTTCACTGATGGCCCCCCCCCCCCCCGCCACTGCCTTCTGAGGATTAGCCAATACAAACCAGAGCCCATTTTTCCTCCCCTGGCCATCTGCCTTCAACACCCCGCCCCCCCCCACTTCCCCCACTGGGACCCTAGAGCTAATCCCATCAGACCCTGCCATCTTTCATTGGCCACTTCTCCTGGCTACCACCTCAGGCTCCAAGAGGTCTTCTGACCTTCTCCATGAGCAAAAAATACATCACGTAGGAGGCTTTGAGAGAATCAGGATTCTGCCACAGCCTCTACCCCCACACACCAGGCAAACGGCAGCAAGTATAAATAACTCCCATCCGCTTGGGATTCAAGAATTACTCCCCTTTAATACACATCTCTACCAACACATTCCTCTGAGATAACTGCTTGGGCTGGGGCCTAATTCATTCCTTGTGTGTGTCATGGGCTCAGAGCTGGAAGAGGCCCAAGAGATCATCTGTTCAAACCACTTCATTTGTAGAGCAGGAGGAAATTGAGGTGCAGGGAATATGGGTGACTTGTCCAAGGTCACCCAGGTAGTAATGTGCAGACTTACTCAGTTTCTGCTGAGGGAGAGGGCAGTGGGAAGTGGGGAGGAGGGAGTAATAGGAATCATTTTCTTTTGGGTGACTTTTTCTGCCTGAAAATCAATTTCAAAGAGAGGCCATAGCCTGGGACCTTCCAGATCACCTTGGGTCCCAATTTTAGAGAAGGAAACTGATGCCAGAGAAGTGATGTGCCTTCCCAAGGTCATACAGGAATTAACACAAAGCCAGGATTTGAACCCAAGTTCAAGACTACTTTTCTCCCTTACACTATGACTTGAAGGGTCATAAGACCCCTAGTTGGGAGGGGGGAAAGAATACAAGCTCTGGAGTCAGGAGATCTCCATTCCAATCCTATATCAGGTATTATCTGTGTGACCTTGGCTAAATCACTTCCCTTCCCCAGGCCTCCATTTGGACTAGATGGCCTCTGAAGACCCTTCTATCTCTGGATCTAGATCCTAAGAAAGGACCAATCCTTATTCATTTATACATGAGGAAACTGAAGGTCCAGGATATGTACAAAGTCACATAGTTAATGAGCAGCAGTCATGATTGGAATGCAAGTCCTCTGATTCCAAGCATAGACAAGGCTCTCACCATATATACCACGTTGGCTCCAGATGGGCAGGATTTCAATGGGATGGGATTTGGGGGGGTGCCATAAAATTGTACTAGAAAGGGATGGCACCCTTCTGAGTGGGGATACCCTGAGCCCAGCTTTTATAGCTCCTGAAACTGAGCAGAAACCAACCAAGGCTTTCCTCTACAATTCAGTGGCTGCTAGCCTGGAAAGTCCAGTGTTCCTAGCTCATTTCTTTGTCAGATCCCTCACACCAAGCATGCTCCTGGGCAGCTCCACATAGCTTAGAAAGATCAGTTCATCCCAGTCACAAGCTTCAAGACTCCAATATTCAGCCTTGCCTGGCACCATGGAAATGCCACCCACAGCTGGTCAAGGCATTCTGGGCAGGAGCTGCTGTTTTGGTAATTAACCATAACTTGGCTGGAGAAAGTTGGCTCAGTTAGAAAATTTTCTCCAGGTTCTAACTGAAATGGTCCCTTTGAAGATCAGAGCATCATAGAGCCAGCCTTGGAAGAAAATTCAGCTTTTCCCCATCTCCACCCTTACTTCTTTATTTTACAGATGAGGAAATAGAGGCCCAAGGAGGGAAAGAACTGACCCAAGGCCACACATAAAAGAGCTAGAAGCAACTTCAGTCATCTGTTCCAATTCCTTCCTTTTACTAAAGAAGAAACTGAGGCCCACAGAGGTAGCTTCTCTGGACCTGACTGGTCCAGGGTCACACAGCAAGTAAGTATCAAGGGCAGGATTTGAACCTAGATCTTCATGACTCCAAGGCCAACAAACTGAAGCAACCAATTAGGAAACCCACTGGAGCCAGGGAGCCATTCCCCAGCCTCTTCCCCATCTTCTCTCATTTTCGCAGTTCTTGTACGGAGACAGCTTGCCTTATAGCTTTTTTATTTGCCCATGGGAAGCGATGACATAGGGGAGGCAAAGGGATTCCAGAGCAAGGATGCAAATGCAAGTACCTGGTGCATACATATGTGGCCCTTCTTGGAACTCCTGGCCTCTGGGAAGGAGTGCTTTAGGATGCATGGGGGCCGATTTTTATTTTTACTTTACAAAGTAAATATATGCTCAAGGTTTGAAGAAACAAGGGCTGAGCAGTGGGGGCCATCGGGAGGGAGGGATTTGCAATGCCACAACCTGCTTTGCTAGTCAGTTTCACCTCCAGCTGGCTTTTACATCTGAAACTAGAAGGGACCTTGGGGGCCAACTAGGCCAATCTCCTCCTGTTAGAGAGGAGCTGAAGTCTATCTTGCTCTCTTCTCAGTTCCTCTCGTCTTTGGAGCTCTTTCCCCCAGCTTCCTATTTCCTTTGGGAGGGTGGCCACATCACCCCTTCACCTACCCTGATTTCTCCAACAGAGGCAGTACCTTAATCCTGCTTTTCCAGCCCCTCTCCCCCTTCCCCCCACACACTCCTTAGCAGCTATGGCTATCGGGCAGTTTGGGGCAGCAGAGAGGTGCTAGATAAAAGATTCAGCAATCTGCTACTAACTAGTGAGGGAGAGAATAAACATTTATATAGCGCCTACTCTGTGCCAGGCACTGTGTTAAGCACTTTTTTTCAATACAAATATCATCTCATTTGATCCCTTCAACAACCCTATGAGGCTGGCTCCATTTTACAGTTGAGGAAACTAAGGTAAACAGAGGTGAAGTAAATTACCAAACAGGAGGCTAGATTAGAACTCAGATCTTCTTGACTCCCTTAGTGCTCTATCCACTACACCACCAGCTACCTCTAACTAGCTGGCAAGTCCCTTCTCCTCTCTTGTGGGCCTCAGTTTCCTCACCTGTAAAATGAGAGTATTTTACTAGATAACCACTTAAAATCCTTTCCCAATCTGTGAATATCTTTCTGTTTGAAGGTTCCTTTCAGCCCTGACATTCTATATTCTAGGAGTCCTGCCCACTTCAACATTCCCTGTTGTCTGCTTTAATGGCCCTTCTAACTCTAGCATTCTCTGCTTCTACATGAGGGAGGGCCCCTGAAGAGGGCTGTGTTAATCCAGCTGCACCATCCCACCTCTGTGGTAGCCACAGAAGGGGGAGGACAAGGAAAGACAAGATATGGGGTTGACCAGGCCCAAGCGACCCCTTGAGCTCTGTGGTGGGGACAGCTGGGATCCCGTTTGACCTCTCCCCGAGGAAGCTGACCAGGCCAGCTGCCAGCCCAGCCCTGGGGTAACAGCTGACCTGCCCAAGCAGAGGAAAAGACAGGCGGCTGCCAAGTGTCTCCTCTACAATTTCTTTCTCAGGTTACATTGGGGAAGTCATCCTGACAAGCTCAGCATGCCTGACAGCTCCCAAGAAGGGGCTTTTCCCCCTTCACTTCTTGGGGAGCCCATTCACCCTGAAGGAGGTGACAATGGAGATTTAGGGTACTGCTTGCTGAAAGAGCTGAGTGGTTTCCTTCCTATAGGGTCACAGGAGAGAGACCTGCCACAGATTGTCTCATCTAATCTCATTTACAGCAGGAGAAACTGGTAGAGCTCCCCATGGCCAGTGCTGATGGGGATAAGCAAAAGACTTTTCCTGGGGAGCAGGAGGAGATAAGATTGAAAGGGAGGTTGGGGCCAAACTATTGGAAGCCTTGAATGTCAGGCTAAGGA